AAAATTTTTTCCAAAATTTCAAAACTACCTTTTTTAAACTTCCTTTTACAATAACTACCTAAATATTGATAATAACTTCCTAAATATTGAAAATAACTACCTAAATATTGACAAAAACTACCTAAATATTGATAATAATTCCTAAATTTGACAAAACTACCTAAAAATTGATAAAAACTACCTAAATTTGATAATAACTTCCTAAATATTGAAAAATAACTACCTAAAATATTGACAATAACTACTAAATATTGACAAAACTACCTAAATATGGGCAATAAACTACCTAAATATTGACAAATAACTACCTAAATATTGATAATATACCTAAATATTGATAATAACTTCCCCAAATTTTTGACAATAACTACCTAAATATTGATAAACTACCTAAATATTGATAAAACTTCCTAAATTGCAATACTACCTAATATGATAATAACTACCTAAATATTGATAATAACTTCCTAAATATTGACAATAACTACCTAAATATTGATAATAACTACCTAAATATTGACAATAACTACCTAAATATTGACAATAACTACCTAAATATTGATAATAACTTCCTAAATATTGACAATAACTACCTAAATATTGATAATAACTTCCTAAATATTGACAATAACTACCTAAATATTGATAATAACTTTCCTAAATTTTTGAAATAACTTCCTAAATATTGACAATAACTACCTAAATATTGATAATAACTACCTAAATATTGATAATAACTTCCTAAATATTGACAATAACTACCTAAATATTGACAATAACTACCTAAATATTGATAATAACTACCTAAATATTGATAATAACTTCCTAAATATTGACAATAACTACCTAAATATTGATAATAACTACCTAAATATTGATAATAACTTCCTAAATATTGACAATAACTACCTAAATATTGACAATAACTACCTAAATATTGACAATAACTACCTAAATATTGATAATAACTTCCTAAATATTGACAATAACTACCTAAATATTGATAATAACTACCTAAATATTGAAATAACTTCCTAAAAATTGACAATAAAACCTAAATATTGACAATAATACCTAAATATTGATAATAACTTCCTAAATATTGACAAATAACTACCTAAATATTGACAATAACTTCCTAATATGATAATAACTTCCAAATATTGACAATAACTACCTAAATATTGATAATAACTTCCAAATATTGACAATAACTACTAAATAAATTTACAATACTACCTTTAAAAATTGATAATAACTTCCTAAATATTGATAATAACTACCTAAATATTGATAATAACTTCCTAAATATTGCAATTTAAAATACCTAAAATGTGACAATAACTACCTAAATATTGATAATAACTTCCTAAATTTGACCCAAAAAACTACCTAAAAAATGACAATAACTACCTAAAAAATTGAAAATAAAATTCCCAAATATTGACAAAAAACTACCTAAATATTGACAATAATACCTAATATGATAATAAATCCTAAATATTGACAATAACTACCTAAAAAATTGATAATAACTTCCTAAATATTTACAATAACTACTAATATTGACAATAACTACCTAAATATTGATAATAAATTCCTAAATATTGACAATAACCCACCTAAATATTGACAATAACTACCTAAATATTGATAATAACTTCCTAAATATTGACAATAATACTAAATATTGACAATAAACTACCTAATTTTTGACAATAACTACCTAAATATTGACAAAACTACCAAAAAATTGATAATAACTTCCTAAAAAATTGACAATAACTACCTAAAAATTGACAATAACTACCTAAATATTGATAATAACTTTCCCAAATATGACAATAACTACCTAAATTTTTGATAATAACTTCCTAAATATTGACAATAACTACCTAAATATTGACAATAACTACCTAAATATTGATAATAACTTCCTAAATATTGACAATAACTACCTAAATATTGATAAAACTTCTAAATATTGACAATAACTACCTAAATATGATAATAACTTCCTAAATATTGACAATA